CCCCCTCTCTCTCTCTCTCTCTCTCTCTCTCTCTCTCTCTCTCTCTCTCTCTCTCTCTGTGTGTGTCTCTGTCTCTATTTCTCTCGTCTCTGCTGCCCCTCTTGCCCTACTTCCCTCTCGCTCTTGATCTACCTGCACCTCTACCTGTCTCTCCCGTTCCCTGCCCTTCACGGAGCGCGCAGCGCAGAGAGAGAGCGAGAGAGAGAGAGTGAGAGTACGCTGGCATACTTGGAAAATTAGCCCTCGAATTACAATACTCTCCCTACTCGGCGGGGCTGCGCGTCGCTGGGCGCCGCACACCTCGCGCAGGTGCCCTGGTGATGAGGGTGTAGTTGTAGTTCGACATCGTCGACATCAAGAGGCATAGGGGCGTGCTTGGCGTGGCGTGGCGGGGCGAGGCACGGCGTGGCGGGGCGCGGTGGCATAGCGTAGCGGCGCCTCACTTAAATCGACCCACCACGCCCCGCCACTCCCTCGCCACGCCCCCGCCAGTCATTATTACGGCTCTCGCACTTTCGCTCTCGCGTTCCGGGCGTTCTGGCGTTGAGAGTGTAAAGAGCGCGCGCGCGAGAGAGAGGCAGAGCAAAGGGATTGAGAGGGGAGGGGGAAGAAGAGAGAGAGAGAGAGAGAGTGAGAGTGAGAGAGAGAAGAGAGATCATAGGCTACCTTGCCATGGAGAGGAAGTGAAAGAAAGTAAGAACACGATGGGAGGGGAAGGGGTGCGGTGGAGGTGCAGAGAGATTCCGTGTCTGTCAGTCGCATGCGGACTTCGTTTGAAACGCGCGCCTTGCCCGCGCTCCCCCACACGCACGCCACCTGGAGAGCGCGCCCGCTGCCGGCACGCCAGGGCACGCCAGGCTGCTAAGAGCCCCGACCCAACTCGCAGCCCAACGCTCGTGCAGCCCAACTCTGCCGCGCCCAATTAGTACACGGCCGGCGGGCACTTTTTAGTATCGCGAGCAGGCGTCCGTCATCACGACTCTATTGCTGCTGCTCATTATTTTTAGACGATTGTTTTTTTCACGCTCGTTTCAATCGAGTGATGGCGTGGCCGTGTGGACAGCCCTGAAATTGTTGCAATGTACATGTACATTGTACATTTTATAGTTGCAACTAAATGTCGTCTCTTGATGATGCTAGTAGTTCAAACTACGAGGTAAATTGGTTTCGTTACTGTTTCGTCAAATAATAGAAGCTATATCTGGACCTTGTTTTTTTTTAATCCAGCTGCAGTAATTATCTTTTATCTGAAAAAGTTGTTTTTTTATCATTTTCTGACAGTTTTGAATGACTGATTTAGTTGTCCCTTCACAAAATGTAATTTTCAGGGCGAGACTTGCGGCTGCGGTTTGTTTGGCGCTGCTGCCGGCCCGCTGGCCTCTCTTTGCCTGTGTGAAGGAACTGCAGCGTTCTGACCCGCCCCTGGCCCGAGGCCTGGTCCGCACGCCCGCACCGTGTGGCGTGGCTTGGAGGAGGTAGCGAAGGGACTAATGAAATGCTGGCCGCATGGGCGGCCCTACCGCAGGGTGACTTCTTTTCAAAGGTCCCCCGGCTTGCCCCGTCCCGCCGTTCGTTGCCGATGCGCGAGGCGGAGGTGGGATGCGGTGTGGTGTAGCGGGGCTGGGCGGGGTGGGGCGGCGAGCCTTTGAAGGGAGCTCAAGGGAAGCAAGCGCTCAAGGGACTTGGCGGCAGAGATGCGCATCGGGCGGGCGCGCTCCGCCCGGCACCCACCGAGCGCTTGTCGCCAGAGCGCCCGGCCCGGCCCGTCACTTCGTCAACGGGCCGGGTGGCCACCCGGACCGAGCCTCGAGGCGGGCGGCCACTACACCCGCTCCGTTCGGCACTTTTTGGCGTGCCGAGAGTAGCTGTCGGCCAGCGCCGACCCGGCCGTACCCGCGCACAGTTGACTTCGGCACTGTTCGGATGTCCGGCTGGTGACTGCTGCCGCCACGCCAAGCCACAGCACCGCAGCTCCACCCGTGAACTGTCGCTCTCTCTCGCACACCTCAGGCAGCGGGTGGAGCGCGCCCGCCCGATGCGCATCTCTGCTTGGCGGCGGCGGCGGGGGCTAGCTTTTACCTACGCCGCGCGCAGCCCCCCGCTCCCCCATCCCCTTCCCCGTCGCCTCGCACTGCCTCCACGTCCTGCTCAGCCAAAGACACAACCCTTTTCGATCCGAGAGTGGCACCGACAGAGTGGCTGCCCGAGGAATGAAATGAAAATGACACGCAAATATTTCTGCAGTGAGAGTGGCTCTCGGTGCGTATGGTGATGAGTGCGGGGATGTGCGTATGTTTTTGAAGTGTTACACCGCTCCCTATCAGTATTTATTTATTTACATCCTTTTAGGGCATCCAGTTTACTTTTTGGAACGAAAGCAAGACGAAGCTGTAAAAGTCCGGGATCCCAAAGGAGTCCTTCTCTATACTGTGTGCAAACAGAGAAAATATGCACTAAAAGCGAGCTGACAAATTCAGATTGTTTCATGTCGTGTATTCAAATCTATCTCACACAAACATTTCTTTCTTCCATTTTGTTTTATACGCACCTGTCGGCACTGATTGAATTCTTTGATGTGTAACAAGGCGAGGTGCAGAGCCACTGCTCTTCGCCGAACCGGCGCCTACATCACCAGCGCGTCATGACCACCGACGGCTGCCGACATTT